GGAGGGGACCATGTAGCATCTCAGACATCTGGCGGTCCAATTGGCGAAAGTATCGCGCGATTTTGGTTTGGTCCCGGGGCTTAAGTTTCTCTAGATATTCTTCCAGGGGCCTCAACACTGCAAGGCAGCGAGTGATGGGCGGGATTTGATGATAGGCGGAATACTTCGGGTCTTTTCGAAGAGCTTCAAAGCCCACGGCTGGTGGCGGGTGCTCACTGATCTCAGCCTCCGACTCGTCGTTGGTTAATTCTATACCAGAACTACCAAAAATGAGATATTCGTCCTCGGGCCCATAGATGTTGTCGGAACTGGCATGGTGGTTCGCTGCAGAATTGTGCACTGGTGGGCTCATTTCTGGAGTAGTAGAAGATGGGCCACTAGTACCTTCTTCTCCGGGAAGATTCCCATCCAATTCACTAGGATTTGATCGTTGAGTCATTCCTGTTGTGATTTTTCGAGTGGTTTTTTGCCTTGGAAGGGCTGTTTGAAGGTTTGTAAAAATTGGATGGTCCGCGTTTTTTTCGAGTTTATTTCGCCGATTTAATGTTGTGATGGGGAGGCCCCTCTGGGCCAAGATGACTGCGCTTCTTATAACTCTTCAGGTTGTGAAGCTGAGCCAAATCAGTAGCAGCACCCCAATTGACTATATTCCCCCTACTACATAGCCCAAGTCGAGCTGCTTTTCAGGCTATGTAGGGGGGGTATATAGCCCTCGCAATCCCTCGCCCGCGCTGCCTACATTGGGCTTAATTTACATATGTGTTTCTGGCAGTCCGGTCCGATGGCTGGACCGGACAGTTCTGTTCAACTTCCCTCGTTCTGATGCGATCGTTCTGCAATCGGCCTCCCACTCAGCCTCCAATCCATCCTGAGTGTTGGCATAGTTCACCCGCTGGGTTTCATTCCCAACTCTCAAGCACCTCTTGCAATGTAAACCAAACAGCAAATCCGCTACCCATCAACAGAGAGCAACACTTTCCTTCATCTAAAAAAACCTTTGCAGCTTTGTATATCTTTTCTCACCACATCAGCAGATTGAAAGTCATAATCACGGGGATGTTAGTATAAAAATTATAAGTAGCATGAAGTAAAATTGTTGAATGACCTGTCTGTTTGATCTTCATGGAATTGAATAGAAAATTTGGGTAATCAAGCTTCTGGGTGTGGTGTCTCTGATCAAAATTATTTTTTCTTTCTAGTTTCAGTGGTATTAGGAATAAAAATGGGGGTCTCAGGAGAAAATGACCAATAGGAGAATTCAGGGTTCTTGCATCAATTTGTTTTTTTTGTGATGATTGAATTGAAATTTGAGGGGATGATTTTTCTGGTGATTTTTCTTTGCTTTTTCTCTTGTTTGTTATAATATTAATGGGTTTGAAGAAAAATGCAATAAGCAGAAACATTACAGATCAAAGAAATCAAGTTTATTTAATGACTTGTGTGTTTGAAGTAGTAAACAAAAAAAAATTGAGTGGATTGATTTTTGGGTGTTCCATTTCTACTATAATTTTATTATAATTGAAGAATCATTGAGTGTGTGAGAGCATTTGGTCAAAAGTTGTTTAGTAAGAGAAATGTAAAATCTTGAACACTGTCATTTGATGAGTAGAAGCCTTTTGGTATGTTTGTTTTTTGTTGAATCTGTTTTTTCATATTTTAATTTTTGTTCAATCAGTAGTTATTAATTTTTAATATGGGGAACTTCATGGAAAAATGGTAAATGGGAGAAATTCAGTTTCTTGCATTACAATTTTATTTTAAATTCAAATTGAACCAAAACCGTGTTTGATAAATACTTATGTGTTTTATCTTTGACAAGAAGTGCTTAACTTTTTTTGTATCAGTAGTATCAAATATATAAGCATGGGGGTCTTGACTCTTAGTGGAAGTGGTAAATACAATAAATCTGGTCCATGGAACAAAGTTTTTATGATTGAAAATGTGAAGGAATATAATTTTTTTTTAGTGTTTACTTTGAATTATAATCTTATTTTTTACTTTGTATTCAAGTGTTACTGGTATTGATTTGAGGAAGATGAAAGCATGAAAAATCTTGACTTGGCCAAGAACACCTCTGCATTGGTGATTTGATGTTGGTGAGTCATAGAATAATAATCAATTTACTTTCTTCATTGAAATTGTATGATTTTGAATGATTCAGCTAGCTTTATTCACTGCCAAAAAACATAGGGCTAATCTGAATTATAAACCTGTATTTCAATTGAACCTATGTTGGTTGGAATGGGATTTACTAGAAATGGTGAATTAATGATCACCATATAATATTAATTAATCAGCTATAGATACTAATATTACACAATTTTGATTTCTTGGATAGATTGATCATATCTAAACCAAATTAAGGTAACACAATCTAATTAAAAAGTATTTACTTGGCTAATTGTACCTGTGTATTGAGATAGTACAAAACATTCATGATTGAACTAGGTTGAGTCTCAGCCAAAATGGGTTCAATCTTTATTCATGTTGGCTCTATTATGTTTGACAGTGACTCAAAGAAATATGTGATAGTGATTGTATGGTTTGGAACAATTCAACTGGATTAATCAACTCTCAACCAAAACATGGTCAATTCAATTCATTGTAGAATGAAGCTAAATTGGTTGAGAGTTAAACAAAATAATTTGACACTTCCAAAAAATTCAATATTGATTCATATTGCTCATGAATCAATGCAACATTATTTGGAATGATTGAATCTGGTTGGTAACTCACCAACATCAAATCAACAATGCATGGGGCTTCTTGGCCAAGTGAAGATCAATCAGCATTTGTATTCATTGGTACTCAGATAACATGGATACAAAGCAATAAAAGATCATAACAAATTGATATTCCTTTAGAAACTCAAACAGAAAGGTCATTCAAGTGAATGTCTTTCTTCTCCTATTTATGAATCTTCCACTAAGACTCAAAACTTCTATGCTTATATCTTCAATACCATTGATATCAGAAGTATGAAAACTTATTGGCAAAGATAAAACACAAGTGTAATTTTTCTGCTAAGCTCTCCATGATTATACATTCAAAACTACTTATACAATATAAAGATATGAAATTGAAATTGAAGGTGGAAAAAAGTAAGATCCCTCTATTTGCTCATGCATTTTTACTTCCTTCATCAAGTCATATTTCTCAGAGCTTCTTGCCAAGTCCTTCATTTTGAGCTGTCTGTTGAGGGATCATCAAGTCATGGGTTATCAAAATCTCTTGATCAATTTGTTTCACAAAAGGTGCCATTTTGCTTTATGAATAAGTACCAATGTCAGTTAAGGGGTGAACCCTGACTTATAAAAATTTCCTAGCAAATAACAAGGCATTCAGAAGAATACAACCTAGCAGATAACAAGACATTTAGAAGAAAACAACCAGGGGTACCACCTAGTAGAAAGCCTATCAAATCAGCAATCTTGAGTCATGTAAAAACAACCCGTTGCAGAACTCCAAGAGAAACAGATTGGCAACTCAATCATTGGGGGCAATGGGTATGCAAATGCTTTGACTGTTGGCTGTCAAACTAGTCGATCAATTGGTAACCTATTCCATGTTGGTGTCTGGTTGGTCCAGGGGTAGGGAGTTAGTCGCGATAGGATTATGGTCAGCCTTTTCCGAGTTATCAAAGGCAATGAGGACGGTGGTGTGACTTAGAAGGAGTGCTTGATTTTCAAGTAGCCTTGGAATGGGTTAACTTCTTGACTGTCCTGAAAGGATCAATGCCGATTTTGCTGATTCCATTGGCAGGGGGATTAGTTGAATCGATTTGAAGTGAGGTATCATAATTGGTGAGAATGTAATCAAATAAGATAGGCGGAGGGAGGTAAAGGATCAGGTGGTGTTGTGCGAGACGACACAGGAAAGGAATTCTTGGGGGACTTGGGGTCTGCTCAAGACTACATACATATGTAAATTAGGGGGGTTCACAATAGCCCTTCCCGGGAAAGGCACTTTGACTCCCCGAGTAATTTTTCACCTTGCTGCGCATGACTGCGCAACAAAAAGTAGACACAGCAAGCACACCCAGGCGGGAAAAGTACCCCTATTGGAAGCGTACTCGCCCACCTACACCACGTCATACATATACCGGACGGACACCGAGCTCGCCCAACCACCCACCACTTATACCGGACCGCCGCCCACTACCCACAACTTCTCTACGGTACCTACCCAGCATGCCCCTACAAAGCGAGCGTCAAAATCTCATCCGGGATTTGTTCATGCTTCTGATC